CCGCAGCAGCTGAGCACGGCCGCGGAGCAAGGGGTGCGCCGGCTGCGCGAGCGCCAGGAGCTCGAGCAGCAGCTCGTCAACCTGAACCGCGTGCTGCAGCCTGATTCGGCCGCGCAGCGCCACCTTGAGCTCTTCCCCACCTCCAACAACACGCTCAACTCGGGCAAGCAGGCGCAGTCGTCGGTCGAGGCGTCGCTCGACCTGCTCAACGAGTGAGTGCCGCTCGCAGATTAGGGTCGTTAGGGCCGATTAGGGTTGAAAGCCCTGAAAAGTTCCCGGAAAATTTCCTGAAATTTTCCGGCTATGAATAAATTTTTTTTACAGACTTAGAAAGTTTTCTGTTATTTCTCGGAAATTTTCAGGAATTTTCCGAAAATTTTCTGGAAAATTTTGAAAATTTTCAACCCTTGCCTAGTAGAGAGGGGTGCACTTTACTATGAATTCAAGCGTACGCCATATTTTTTAAATTGAAACTTTCTTGTCTTTTTTCCTAATTTTATTTTAGAGGATGTGAGGTGATCCATTGGTTCTTATTGTTGTTGTTTTTTCACGACCGTCTAAAACGTTCTGCACATACCGCCAGGTTCCAGCTGAGCGCCGACCAGGGCACCTTCGCGCTGCCGCGCTTCTCTGTGCTCAACACGGTCATCGCGGACCTGTGCCCGCGGCGGCTGCCGTGCCGCGTCGGCAAGTACCGCACCCCGGACGCGACCTGCAACAACGTCGTCAACTCGCGATGGGGCTCGCAGGGCGCGGCGCTGCAGCGCCTGCTGCCGCCCAAGTACGGCGACGGCGTCAACTCCCCGCGCGCCATGCTCAACGGCGCCCCGCTGCCCAGGTCATTTGAAAATAAAAATAAAAATTCCTTTTTTCTAGATTTTTTCTAGATTTTTTTTTGATTTGTTTTCTAGATTTGTTTTCAATATTTTTTTTTCTAGCTTTTTTTAAGATTTTTTTCTAGATTTTTCTTTCTAGATGTTTTTCTAGATTCTTTTCCTAGATTTTTATTCGTTTGTTTAGTGCGCGGCTGGTGAGCAACCGGCTGGCCCAGGAGTCGGACCGGCCCTCGGACAACGTGACTCTGCTGCTGATGCAGTGGGGCCAGTTCCTGGACCACGACCTCACGCACACGCCCATCTCGCGGGGCCAGAACGGCGTCGGCATCTCGTGCTGCCAGGACGGCCAGGTGTCGGACCCGCGCGTCTCGCACCCGGACTGCTTCCCGATCCCCGTGCCCCGCGACGACCGCTTCCTCGCGCCGTTCGGCGAGCGCTGCATGGAGTTCGTGCGCTCGCTGCCCGCCCCGCGGCCCGAGTGCAACTTCGGCCCCCGCGAGCAGATGAACCAGATCACGGGCTTCCTAGACGGCTCCAACGTGTACGGCTCGGACGCCAACAAGCTGCGCCAGCTGCGCCTCTTCAACGGCGGCCGGCTGCGCGAGCAGAACGTCCGCGGCCGCTCCATGCTGCCGGCCAACCCCACCGAGTGCCAGGACACGAGCGGCGCCGCGTGCTTCGTGTCGGGCGACGGACGAGTCAACGAGCAACCCGACCTGGCGCTCATGCACACCGTCTGGCTGCGAGAGCACAACCGGGTGGCCTCCGCACTGCAGGTAAGGGTGAAGTAGAGACCAGCTGGCAGAGACTGTCTCGAGGACGGCCCGACCTGGCGCTCATGCACATCGCCCGGCTGCGCGAGCACAACCGGCGCGAGACCCTCTCTGGTGAAGACCCTTTGGTAGAGACCAGCTCCTGGAGACCCTCTGGTAGAGACCCAGGTGTTCTTGAAGCTTTTTGTGAAAAAAAAACTATGAAAGACAATCTCTAGTAGATACTCTCTAGTAGAGAAGTGGGAACTTTCTTGGTAGAGACAGTCTTAGACACTGTCCGAACTTGCGCTCATGCAGACACCGTCTGGCTGCGCGAGCACACCGGGTGGCCCTGGCTTTGGACGTAAGAAGCGTAAGGTAGATACCATCTGGTAGAGACTCTCTGGTAGAGACCCAGGTGTTCTTGAAGCTTTTTGTTAAAAAAAAAAAAACTATTGAAGAGAATATCTGGTGGATACTCTCTAATAGAGAAAATATGGTGGGAACTTTCTTGTTAACGACAGTCTTAGGGACTGTCCGAACTTGCGCTCATGCACATACCGTCTGGCTGCGCGAGCACAACCGGGTGGCCCCGGCTTTGGACGTAGGAAGAGTTAGGTAGACGCACCATCTGGTAGAGACTCTCTGGTAGAGACCCTCTAGTAGAGGCCCTCTGGTAGAAACAGTCTTGAGAAGTGGCCTGGCCGTCATGAACAGCACAACTAGCTGTGCGAGCACAACGTCCTGACCCTCACGCTGGAGGTACGCGCACATACTACAAACAAACCAAGTGAAGGAGGAAAATTAACCAACTTGCGAATGAGGAAGAACTTTTTTTTTTGTTATTGTTTTTTTCTGTGGGTTTACCACCCTGACCTGACGTGCAGTGTCACGGACAGCTCCGGTTGGCACTGCTGTTGCATTAGAGCCGCGCAAAGTTCCCATAGCCGAGCAGGGAAGGCGCAGGCAGTCGCGGTCATTTATTAAATTGCTCTCTACTCGCGCAGCAGTCCCAGGACGCGAGAAGGAGAATATTTCCAGACACACACACGACTTTTCATTTCGGCGAAGAATAAATATAACTCTGTTTTACATGAAGTCCAGCCGAGCGTGGCGAGTCAGCTCCCATCAGACCGACCGACCGACCGGGGGGCGATTGCACGGTGCGCGGTGTGTTGCCCACCCTGACGGGGTCCTTTTTGTCGCGTTGCAGGCGCTGCGCCCGGAGTGGACGGACGAGGAGCTGTTCCAGGAGGCGCGCCGCATCGTGGTGGCCGAGATGCAGCACATCACCTACAACGAGTTCCTGCCCATCGTCCTGGGCAAGCCGTACATGGACCGTGCCGAGATGTCGCCCAAGGACTCGGGCTACACCGCCCTCTACGACCGCGAGCTCAACCCGGGCATCACCAACGCCTTCGCCACCGCCGCCTTCCGCTTCGGACACACGCTGCTCGTCAGCAACCTGCAGTACGATGATGATTATGATGACTCGTATAACACACACAAAAACACAGTTTAAAACTCGTACTTTTATTTGATAGCAACTGTATCGCTTTGTCGTTTTGTCCGCAGAGGCGTGGGCCGCTTCGGTAACGTGCGGAAGAACTTCGCGCTCAGCAAGTCGGCCTTCAAGCCCTTCATGCTGTACGAGGAGGAGGGCCTGGACGACATGCTGCGCGGCCTCACCACGCAGAGCTCGCAGAAGTTCGATCGCTTCTTCACCAAGGAGGTGAGCCTCCGGGCCGTTCCGAACCGTTCCGGACACACCCCACGCCGGCGGGGACTCCATGCCGCTCGGCGCGCGGGGTAGCTGCACTCACTCAAAGCGCACTCCGATTTTTCTGTTTTCTCTTGACTTTATCCAAACTTTGCCGATTTTCACTAATGCTACCGAGTTTTTAAAATCGATTTGTCCTTGTTTTTTTCTAATTTTTTCCTATTCTTTTTTGGAGGGTTTATTGTATACCTGATATTTCTTTTAGTGAAGTACCTCGAGGGTAGCTCCACCACCACCATGATGACCGACCACCACCACCACCACCTCTCTGTTGCAGATCACCAACCACCTCTTCCAGAACGACCTGCCGTTCGGGCTGGACCTGGTGGCGCTCAACCTGCAGCGCGGCCGGGACCACGGCCTCCCCGGCTACCCCGAGTGGCGGCAGGTGTGCGGCCTGCGGCGCCCGCGCTCCTGGGAGGACCTGCAGGGCATCATGGACCCCGACGTGAGTGACAACCACTTGGTGCCTCTCTCGACCAATGTTTTTAATTTTGGGCCCAAAACTACCCCATTTGACCAAGTTGATAATCTTGACCAAAGTTGATGATTTTGACCATAGTTTGTTTTTGACAAACGTTGATCAACATCGATGTTTTTGACGAAAGTTGATGTTATTGAGCATAAGAGTGACTGAACCGAGACTCTGCTTGCAGGCCATCTCCGTGCTGCAGTCGCTGTACCCGAGCGTGGAGGAGGTGGACCTGTTCGCGGCGGGCGTGTCCGAACGGCCCGCGCCCGGCGCCCTCCTCGGCCCCACCTTCACGTGCATCGTCGGCGACCAGTTCGGCCGGCTGCGCCGCGGCGACCGCTTCTTCTACGAGGAGGGCAACCAGCCGTCCTCCTTCAAGCCCGAGCAGCTGCAGCAGATCCGCCGGACCAGCCTGGCGCGCGTCCTGTGCGACAACTCGGACAACATCGCCCTCATGCAGCCCCTTGCCTTCTTCCACGCCTCCTTCGTGTGAGTAGCTACTTTCAAATTGTTAATGTAAACCATGTTAAAATTTACTACATGTTAAAAAATTAGAACAGTTCCAAAAATGTAACGATTAAGATGTTAAATACTTAAAATAAAAATCAATTTCCTCTTTTTGTAAAATAATTACAGAAACCAGCGTGTGGCCTGCAATAGCGACGCCATCCCACGTCTCGACATCCGCGCCTGGAAGAACGAGCGGCCGAGCAACTTCTGAGACTCCCTTCAACTCGGACTCCCGACCTTTGCGTCGACCAGGACTGCCAGGCCGTCGCCCCTGCTCCGTCTTGCGGGTGGAGGACTGTCCCCGTGATAGAAATATGATTGCGAAATGCCAGTTATGCAATCTGTGAATCGGCACACTTTGTGCATTCCTGAACAGTTTCACAAGTGATATTTTGTGAGCTTCAAGAAGTCTTAAGTAGTTTAAACATTTGACTGAGGAAGATATTTAATATTTCAAGTTGTTATTGTCTGGGGGAAGGTTATTCCCTCATTGACGAGAGTGACCAGACACGGGCATATTTTTCATTGCTCTCTGAAAATATTGCATGTTTTCTATAGTCTGATTAAAGTAACCCACCGTTATGACTTTTATGTCATTTTCAATGAAATGAACTACTACTACTCAGCATATGGCTAGCAGCCTACAACAGACAGCGAAAACAATTAAACAGAAAAAAGAAATAATCTTCTTGTACTCTCGGCTCTCTGTTGTGCGATTATTTACTCCCCAACACGACCGGCCCTTTTGTTTCTGATCCCCCGAACACGATTTATTTAATATTTCAGGAAACGTCCGAACACTATTGTCCAAAACGAACCAATTTTTCACGATTTAACATTAACAATTTTCTTAAATTCTTCTTTTTATTTTCTGATACTGTAAAAGGTAGTAAAAAGGGGTGAATATGGACAAATTCTGTAGAGCTGCAAGTAGCAAAAGGTTTTAACAGTGAACAGGCGGGCGAGAGGAGGAACAGGGGGGCAGTGAGAAAACAATCTTGGGTCTGGTCCCACGCGGCGTGGCGGCGCACTGCTGCGGCGTGTCAATTCACTTGCTTCTGGCCCCTCGGGGACGTGGGCGCGCGGTGTGCGGCATCCCCTCCTGCCCCTCCTCCCCCGGGGGACCGGCCGGGGTGCAAGTGTGAGGGGCGGGGCGGGGCGGTGTAGCAGGGGGGAGGGCAAAGAGTGAGGATGAAAATATTAGCCATCGACTGCTGCTTGCCTGTTGTGCGGGACCGCGCACAGCAGTAGCAGCGTGCCACTGCCGCCGCCGCGGCGACCCGTCACATTCCCACATTAAGCATTTAGCGCTCGCCAGCCCTTCCCTTCCCTCTCTCCCCTGCCCTACCCCCTGCCCTGCTCTCTCCTCCCCTTCCCCTCCCCCTCTCCTCCCCTTCCCCTCCCCAAACTCGGGGAATAAACAAAAGTCGTACGGACAAGTGCAATACACTCTCGGTCAAGCGAAACAGATAGTAGTAGTTAAACGGCAAGCAGTGACCAACTAACTATACTGAAACACATTATAATATAAATATTATCCTACTTTAGGAAGACTAGATAATAAAACAGCTTCCAGCTTCAACATTGTAGAAACCTTATGATCCTCATCAACTGGGACGATAACAATCATCATCCATATCGGAACGAGGAGGCGGCGTAAGCGTCGTAAAGCGATCCCGTTTTCAGCGCCGACGACTTCCGTTTCCGCTTCCTCCTCCCCCCTCCCCGACCAGACTGTTATTATCGACTCTACGCCCTCCTCTTTTTGTTCTCCTCGTGTGCGCACCTCTCTCTCGCTCTCGCTCTCTCTCTCGCTCTTGGGAGCCGCCCCGCGCGTTCCTCGCAGCTAATCAGCTGAGTGCACATTACCGCCACAGTATCCGCCCCCTCCCTCCCTACCCGCCCTCCATCCCCTGCGACTAAGAACAACAACAACACCACTCCACGACAACGAGAGAGAGAGAGAGAGAGAGAGAGAGAGAGAGAGAGAGAGAGAAAGAGAGACAGAGAGAGAGAGCGGGAGAGGAGGGAGGGAGGGTGCGAGACAGAGACGAGCCCGACACGTCCAATAAAATAATCATCCATGTAGAGCACGGTGAATAAACCAACCCAAAGCGGTTGTGATTCCGCGCGCCCGTACCTAGGCCGAGTGCGAGAGAGAGAGAGGGAGAGAGTGGTAGAGAGACAGAGAGCGGGAGAAAGAGGTTGTTGCAGAGGAGTAGGCTACATTTTACATTCATGTGCCGAGGTTAAATGTTACGCACAACCGCGGCTGTCGCATGATTCAGTTAGTGTTCCCAATTTTCCTTTCCATACCTTCATCTTGGGAAAATGTACATAATAGGTACATTTTTAAAATATATATAAATAAAATGAAAAAACGCATCGCGCTCTTGTAACTAGTAAGTAGTAATTTGGAGGCCTTTGCATTTGTTTTCCAATGTGAAACTTAATCGTGGGTTTTCGGTAAAATTTTCCATGAGGTGTGCCGTTAGAACTACAATAAATGGAATTGTAAATTTCTATTTCGTTTCGACTTTGGTAATTGTTGGGCTGCCGCAAATTTACGACTTAATTTGTACATACAAAATACACCAAATTGTAAAATTACGTGGATATATTTCCAAGTGAGGCGCGAGGGGAGCCGTGGTGAGTAATACCGCTGCTGGCAGGGCAGGGCGGCGCGGCGCGTCGGGGAGGTGCCGCCGTGCGGGTAGGCCACCCTCCCGCGCGAGTGTCGGCGCGCTGCCTACCGGCCCGGCGCGCTCCGCCCGGGGACTTAGACGCGCTGCGGCCGGACTCCAGCAGGGCGCTGACGGCACAAGGGCGGCGACGACGGGGGGTTACATCCTGGCGCGGGTGTTTGCCTGGCGAGGAAGGCGTCGTCGTCCCCAGGACGGGAGACATCCTTCCTCGACACAAGTCGTGAACCAGGACCGTCGCGACGTCATCCGGGCCACCGACGACGACAAACTCCGACGCGACGCACCACGACCTTTTCGCGAACATCCCGATCTGCGCCTTTTTATTATTTGACTTTATCGGGACGGTGAATGATCAGGAGGGCACACGCACACACACACAATACCACGCGCGCCGCACACGGCAGGCTGCAGTCGCAGCCACCCTCCCCGCCACCCCCCGCAGCGCGCGGCCAATGGGGAGCGCGCCAGGACCGGGCCGCGCTGTGATTGGCTGAGCTCTGAGGCCACCCTCCCCCCTCCTCCACCACCTCCTCCACGACCACCACCACCACCACCGCCGCGACACGGCAGGGAGCAAAAGCCTTTTTCTTGTGCCGGCAGAGGAAAAATCGGACGACAGTGCGAGCGGGCCGAGGGATGTGAGAGAGAGACGAAAAGAGACGGTCGGGGAGGGGGCGAGGGGGGGCACAGGGGCCCTGGTGAGTGCAAAGAGAGCCAGAAAGGGGGAGAGAGAAAGAAAGAGAGAGAGAGGGAGGGGGGGGGGGGTTGGGGGTGAATCGCACTCTTCTGCCGGGACACGTACGCGCACGGGACGGGAAGTCTGTTTTGTTTGCCTTTGCTGGACAAGTCAGTCTCTCTCTCTCTCTCTCTCTCTCTTTCTCTCTCTTGCTCTTGCTCTCTCCCTCTCTCTTTCTCTCTCTTGCTCTTGCTCTCTCTCTCTCTTTCTCTCTCCTCCTTGCCCTTTTTGGGGCCTCTATCCTGCTGGTCCTGAAAAAAATAAATGGCAAAGGGCATGAGATAAGGTGCACTTTATTGGCCATGTTCAAGTGAATACCTGATTAACTTGGTCCAACTTAAGGTGTTGTTATTCACTCCGTGAAAATATGTGGGCATGCAAAACAAATTTGCGTTTTTTGTCATTTTACGGATTTTATGAAATCCGTATGCTGGAGCTGGAGGTACGCTGGTGAAAGGTAAGGCAGGAGGCAGGTGTTGCCTCGTGCTCGAGCCAGCCGTCTGTGGTGCGCCGCGGAC